TACAGGTAGTTTTCTCATCTTAATAATTGTTTTTTGTTGTTATTCATATTTTCTGTGGTACTGGGGATTGAACCAAGGGGTGCTCTACAGCAAAGGTTTTTTTTTCTTCCCCCAGCCCTTTTTATTTTTAATTCTGAGATAGGGTGTGACTAAGTTGCCCAGGCTGGCCTTGAACTTGCCATCCTCCTGCTCAGCCTCCCCAATAGCTAGGATTATAGGCATGCACCACCACAGCCCAGCTTAATATTGTTATATTTTCACAATTTAAAAACACAAGACAGGGCTGGGGATGTGGCTCAAGTGGTAGCGCGCTTGCCTAGCATGCATGAGACACTGGGTTCAATTCTCAGCACCACATAAAAATAAAATAACGATATTTTGTCCACCTAAAAAACTAAAAAAAAAAAAATTAAAACAGAAGACATCATCACAAGTGCAGAAAGGTGGGGAAAGAGTGGAAAGCCTTAAAACCATGAAAAGGTACCAACTCTAATCAGTTTCAGGCTGTGATCTCAGCAGCTTAGCTCAATGTACCAGATAATTTGAGGAGACTCAGGCACTTAGAGAACAGTCTGTTTCTGAACTCTTATGTTTTACTGACTGGCGGTGGGGCTGGGTTGGAGATTTATCACAGAAGCAATACTATGCTGACTTTGGGATGAGTAGGAAAATAAAAGCATTACATCTCAAATCCCCAAAATCCTTACAATTCTTTCCAACCACTTCAAAGGTCCCCTAAATGGGAGCACATTTCTTTCTAAACCAAAGCCTATGATAATGAAGAATGCCACAGACCTCACATCAGAATCAGTGAAGCTCAGTCAAAGCACAAGTGCACGCCCAGTTTCTCCACACCCAGACCTGCTGCCCCTGACTCAGCAGCTGAGTCAAGCTCCTGCCTGTTGAAGACGTGCCCAGGTGATTCTTATGTGCACACACCCATAACAACCAGAACATCTGCTGCTTTTAGCTGAGCTTAGTGCAGCTAATTTAGCTGAATGAACTAACCCTGAGTCCCCTTCCAGGCCTTTGTCTATGTAAATACAACTGTGCAGAGCACAAAAGGGAAGATTTTAGAAAAACTGATATAAACCAAGTTGGCTAACAACTACAGCTTCAAAAAGGAAAACAGTATATAAAATCAGTTTATATACATCCAGTAGTTCCCAACGCAGTGCACCAGAATGACATGGGAAAGCTGTTTCAAAGACCTGCCCAGTGGCCCCACACTAGACCTTCTGAGTCTGCACCTCCAGTATTGGGGCTCCCAGGGGCCACAAAATCGGTTTGTGGGCCAGGAAGCATGGTTTCTTGCTAAGGAAGTACCTGCAGTTAACTCAGCAACTTAAATAACAACTGGTAGGTGAAAACAGAAGAGTGAGCTTGGGGTTAAACTCAAGTGATAAGTACTAGGTCTGGTTCAGTGAGGAGACAGAATAGTCTTTGGAAGTGGGCCTGGTCTGTGCCCATAGCAGTTCTGACTACTGCTGGGAAAAATGCCAGAATAATCAGTGGCATTTGTTTGACTATCTTAAAGGTAGCAAATAGCTGGTATAAATGCTGCTGGTTTCTTCACCCATTGACCCAGGATAGAGATCACTAAGGAACTGTGGCACTCTCCCAGTGAACCCAAACAGGGCCTCAACCTCCCACTGAACAGATGTCCATTCCCCTAAGATAGAAGACAGTAGGCCAAGTGAAGTACATGTGAATCCCTGTCCTGATGTGGACAGTTCAAAAGCTGGGCCTCTCTGCAGATCATGCCACCATTCTAATCTCTTAAGGTAATCCAAATGAGATCTCTAAGGATCTTAGAGCAAAGCAAGTCCTTTTCTTCTCAGTGATACACCTAAAATTTTGGGAAAAATGCAAAGTTTTTAACCTGTATCTCTGTCAATATTCTGACAGGGTTCTGCACTGGAATGTACCTCCTCCACAAAGTCTCTCCCCATCCTAAGACACCTCAGTCTAAATTCATTTATGCCCTTCACATCTCATTAGGTCCTATCTGTGTTCGTGTCACTAACAGCCTGAAGATTCTTTGCCAGGAACCCTAAAAGTCAGTCCTAGAATGAAGACGTGCATTCACATAGTATAAGCAGAGATGAAGCAATGGGAACTGACTTCACATCTCGACTGGGAAGTAAGTCAAAACTGAGGCAGCAAGGTCTGGGCACAGGTACCAATGGAATTTAATGCCCTGAACCAAAGGGTTTGGTGTTGCGATTTCTAAAACAGTGGTATGTTTTAAGTGCCATATCCTAACAGAAAATGATAGAACCTGCAGAACACTGACGTGAATAGGAATCAACAAAATATTTACTTCTAAGCAATGACTCACCACCCCCCCACCATTGAATGTTAGCAGAGAAACACACACCAGGGGCACACCCCTGAGGAGTCAACCTTCATATGCACTTGGATACACAGAAGGAAAGAAAAACACGTGGAAGGAGAAAATGCACGGGTAGTTGAAAAATGGTTAGAACCGCCAAGACTGAGCTGAGGTCCTAGGCCAGTTCAAAGGAAGCAGGATCATTACTCCTATTGCCTAGTTCCAGAAAAGATCATGCTATTCAAAAGGCCCAACAGGAAATGCCTGCTGAACATCAGGCAAAACAAAGATGCTTAGTCAAGACAAACTATTCATTATAGCTAATGAAAGGCCTATGGACTCTCAAGCTGAGAGGATAAAGGGGATGAGATGTCTAGGAGGCACCCACTCTCACTTCCAAGAGTTTGAAAGTGTATTACAATTAGCAGGCTACAACCAATGTGAATCTGTGAAGTTCTGTACAAGGTTCTCAGCCTGAGTCCATATTCCTAAATCCTAACCATTAAGAAAAATTCAGTTTCCAAATTTTAAACTATGTGACTTTTGGGGGGAATCATCCATCATTAAATCATTGCTAAAATACATAATCCTTTTTCTTCTTCACTCAAAGAAATACCATTATTATTTCAATCTATCTACAAAGATTAGCAACAAGCAACAAAATATAGAGTGACTGGCAGTTCTCAAATGTTCTTAATATGCTTTTCAATCCTGAGCATTTTATTTTCTTTTAACTTCCCCCAATCCAAAGAGCACCAAAGGAGATGTAATACAAACCTTTCAATGTGGATATCTGCAGCTTAACAGCCTTAATAACTAGCTATAAAATTTTAAGAGCTATCGTATTTTGGCGGCAATTACAGTTATTGATATTTCTGAAATTCATTTGAGATTTTACTGTAACTTTAGCAAAAAAATTTGGCTTATGATATGGCTCTGGAAATAATAAATTGTTTTACAATCTTAACATTATTAAGAAAAACTTACTGCCATGAAATTAAACTGCACCCACATTTAAAATTCAATCAAAATAAATTGCTCTTGATCAAAATACTGATATACTTAAAATATATTTAATATTGACCCAGTTTAATGAGAATATATATTGCTCCACTTATAATCAATATGTTGAGATTAACACTTTTATTAATTTTCTACAGTAATTAAGAAGACTGACATTGCTCACTGTTCAAGAGTATTGAGCAATATTCCTCAAACAATGTTACAGATATCAAGTATGCACACTAAAGTTGCAGTGAGAAATGACAAAAATCATTCCTCAGTTATGAGTACTATGTGAGGTACTATTGGAACCTGAATAACAGCTCTCAAAAACTGGATTTAAGTCACAGGGCTTCATATTACTAAAATCACCGAGCTGCATCCACTCTGAAAAGCAGTGTCCAAGAATTTTTTGTTGTTGTTATTGTTTTGGCAAAACCAAGGATTAAACGCAGGGACACTCTACTGCCGAGCTACATTCCCAGCCATTTTTATTTTTTGACAGGGTATCACTAAGTTTCTGTTGCCTTGAACTTGCGATCTTCCTACCTCAGCCTCTCAAGGAGCTGGAGTTATAGACGTGTACCTCCAGTCCCTGCTATTAGTGGTTCCAAACAGAAGAAAAATAGTAGGTTAGCATCATTTAAAGGGATTTAAGAAAGTGGTCTATAATTCTGTAGATGACTATTTTCTCAAGACAAGAAAGAAGGAATTTAAGAAAGCTTAAGACTTCTAAAAATTACTATTCTGCTTCAAAATGAATAATAAAAATAAATAAAAAGGCTATTTATTGTATGAGAAATACAATAAACCAGATCTTCCCACGTTGAGGAATAAGGAAAAACTCTTGAGAAGCAGGAAAAAGCCCCCCAATATTAAATAATCAAGAAGTACTGCCATTCGTTTTTCCCTCTGACTTCCTTAGAAATCTAGAGCACTCGGTGAGATATGGCAGAGAGGCCTGCAGTGTACAGATTGCCAGGCTCGAAAAAAACCATGTGGTGATGGCAATTTTGACTTCATATTACACCTGTTCACTCCTTTTCATCTCACCTGTATCATACCAATAAAGTCACAGAGGCAAAAGACAAAGTCAGTCTCTGGCATAAAAAAATCACAGTGAAAAGGAAGGTACACTGTACACACAAAGTACATTTCTAACACAACAGAGATTTATAATTCTGTAGATGCCTATTTTCTCAAGACAAGAAAGGAGGGATTTAAGAAAGTAAGCTTAAAAGACTTCTAAAATTACTATTCTGCTTCAAAATGAATAAGTAAAAAAAAAAAAAAAAAAACAGTATACACAACACAATCTTTTGCTTTTGTTACACTTACTACAGTGTGACCACTCTGAGTAGAAGCCACACAACTCTCACATCTGTATTCTCTATGCACTTTCCCTAGACTTTCTCTTAAGCTCTTCACCTTAGACTTGCCCCCAAGTGTGGCTCAAGACCTGGAATTACAAGGATTTGGGGTCTGAGGTCCACTGAGACCTTGGCTCCTATTTCTAGCAGGTTAGAGCTGCAGGAAGCCCAACCTTTTGTACATGGGAGTCTAGAAAAGTAAGCTGGACCTAGAATGTTTACGTGTCATTAATAAAGCTGCTGCCTAACATCAAGTAAGCAGTACAATGTACTCACAATTCCTGCAGACCCACCTTAATCGCTGTTTATAATAATCTTCATCTCCATCATCTTGGCATCTCACTACTTTTCGACTTCCTTTTCCTCCTCCATTGGCTTCAGCTTCTTCCCCAGAACTTGGGAAAAAATCGTCATCAACCTCCTGCACTGAGGCTTTCTTCTGGCGTTTCCTGCCCTTGAGCACAGACCTCAGTTCATAGTCAGTGGCATCTCCACACAGGCCAGCCTCTGCCTCCTCTTCCTGCTCTGTGAGACAGGACCAAGACTCCCCACTCTCAGAATCTCCCTCTGACTTTGGCCTGGCCTCTGACTCAAGGGGCCTCTTCCCTCTTGGCAACCCCACCTTCCCCTGGAACTGCAGTGCCCTCTTCTGGAGCTTCCTGATGTGCTTTTTCAAGCACTTGTCTGTTTTTGAGAGAACTTTGCTTCTCTGATTTGTTTTGTTTTCATGTGGTCCTGGGCCAGCCTTAGACATGACCAAGGCTGAGGCTTTTCTGGCTGCTCTTTTATTAGCAGCTTGCTTCTTCCTTTCAAAAGACAGTTTTGCTTGATCTGCCAAATACTTTTCGAAGCCTGATGCCTCATTGAGCATTATTTTTCTAGGCTTTTTCTCTTGTTTCTGAGGGACCTGGGTACCAAATGGTGTCATCTGACCAGTGCGAATGAGCTCTTCCCAGGCAGTCTCCTGGGCAGGCATGAGCATACTGCCAAGACAGGACGGCCCCGGCTCTGAAAGAGCAACAATAATGTGACTAGCATAAAACTTCCCAAGAGTACATTGGAAATATTCACTTGTTCAACTAGGTACCTACCAATAATTCACATAAAAACATGAATGTAATAAAGTATAAATATTATAGCACTTAATATATTCCTGTTCAAAAAGATGACTTCTCAGTAACTTTTCTTCAAAATATCCTACCATATAAATGTGGTATATATACAACATGGAATACTATTCAGCCATTAAAAAAAAAATGAAGTTCTCTCATTTGGGACAGCATGAATGGAAATGAAGATCATCGAGGGGGGATAGTAGAGGATAGGAAAGACAGCAGAACACAACAGACACTAGTATGGCAATATGTAAATCAATGGATGTGTAACTGATGTAATTCTGCAATCTGTATATGGGGTAAAAATGGGAGTTCATAACCCACTTGAATCAATGTGTGAAATATGCTATATCAAGAAATTTGTAATGTTTTGAACAACCAACAATAAAAAATTAAAAAATAAAATAATAAAAAAAAAAGAAGATCATTGTGCTAAGTGAAATAGGCTACTCACAGAAAAATAAGTACTATATGACTGCATTCATATTCAGAATCTAAAAATGCTGAGCTCATAAAAGTGGAAATCAGAATGGTGGCAATGGCTGGGGAGAGCAGGGGGAAGGAAGAATGGTCTTGCTCAAGGTACTGAGTTATAGTTGGGAAGTTTTGGTGTCACAGCAGGTAACCCTTCATAACAATAGCATGCTGTATATTTCAAAAAGCAAGAAAAGGTAGCTTGAACGTTTTCACTATAGAAAAATGATAACTGTTTGAAGAGACAGATATGTTCAACCTGAATTATACCTTATGCAATATACACATTTATTGAAATATCACATAGCACCCTAAAAACATGTATAAATTTTTTTCAGTTAAAAAAAATACACTTGAATTTTAGTTTTAAATATCACATTATAAATATACTTTATATAACTAAAGACAGGCCTAGAACTATAAAAATTATCAACAGAAGAGTAGCCTACAAGAAAAAAATAATATCCAAGTTTCCATATTTTTGCTAGTATCAACATTCAGATGGACCTAAATTCAAGACAGTAAAATTAAAACAGACATCTCAGGTATCACCATGTATCTAAACAGGAAAAATTCAAAGTGTTATCTCTGTACTGCTCAGCAAGTATTTGCCAGTCAACTGTAGCTATTTAAAAATTAAATTAACTGAGTCCTACAGTTACATGTGAATAATGGTTACCATCCTAACAATACAGAGAACTTTCCCCTCAACATGGAGAATCTTCCCCTGTAAGTATAAAGTCATGTAGAAATCCCTCTCTCGGGCTGGGGATGTGGCTCAAGCGGTAGTGCACTCGCCTGGCATGCGTGCGGCCCGGGTTCAATCCTCAGCACCACATACAAACAAAGATGTTGTGTCCGCCGAAAACTAAAAAAATAAATATTAAAACTTCTCTCTCTCTCTCTCTCTCTCTTAAAAAAAAAAAGAAAAGAAATCCCTCTCTCACTAGTTGAAATTAATCTCCAGCAAAAAAATTACTTTACTTTACCACATAATCTGAAAACCAAAAAACTTAAGATTTAACAGGAAGGAATCCATATTCTAAAATCTATAATTCTTATACAAGCCAGTTTTTCCTTAAACTTGCTCTCCTGAAATAAAATATACAAGAATGTACACAAATTATAACCTCGATGGATATTTAGAAAAAATATTTATGCACCAGCATTCAGATTAAATAACAGAAATTACTAGCATCCCCCTAGGTGCAGCTGGTGCCACCTCCAGCTGACCCAGGGATAATGACAGGCCTGACTCTATGGATGAGTGATGCCTGGCTGTGTACCTCATATCAATGGAAAGTTTGTGCTCCTCTATGTGTCTGCCTTTAGTCAGAATTGCACTTGTGAAAGCCACACTAACTTGTTGAATGAAGCTGCCATTTGTTAGCTCTTACTATTGCTGGTATTCTATAATTTTTCCATTCCACTGTTAATGTACTTGGGTGGTTTCTAGATTTGGGCTGCTAAGTATAATGTTGCTATGAATATTCTCATACACACCCTTTTACAATAAACATATATAATTGAGTATATTCGATTTAGTAGACACTGCCAAACAGATTTGCAAAGTTTGAAAGTTCCAACTGGTCTATATTCTTGCCATTCTTTTTGGCTATTTAATAGGTATATAGTGATACCACATTGTGGCTATAACTTGGAATTTTCCTGATGACTAATGAAACAAGGCACCTTTCATAGATTTACTGATCCTTTGGACAGCCTCTTTTGTGTAGAAAATGTTTCAGTCTTCTACCCATTTTTCTCTTAATCCATCTACATTTCACAAAATAAAGATTTCTAGTTCTTTATATATTCTAGATTCAAGTCCTATGATTCATTCATATTCTACAAATATCTTATCACACTCTGTAGCTTACATTTGCACCCTCTAAATTCTATCTTTTGACAAACAGAAGTTCTTAGTTTTTTTTAAAAAATATTTTTTTAGTTGTAGATGGACACAATACCATCTATTTATCTTATGTAGTGCTGAGGATCAAACCCAGTACCTCACGCATTCAAGGAAAGCGCTCAACCATTGAGTTACAACCCCAGCCCAGTTCTTAGTTTTTATACTGTCCATTTAATAAATCTTTTCCCTTACAGAGAGCATTTCTGTGTCCTATTTAAGTCTTTGCTAACACCACAATCATGAAAATGTTTGCCCTATGTGATGTTCTAAATGCTTTGTCTTACCATCAACATTCAGATATATCATCTGCTCAGAATTTATCTTTGTGCACAGTGAAACAGGTCAAGATTTCTTTTATTTTTATGTGGATTAACCCAGCACCACTGATTGAAAAGACCATTCTTCTCAACAGCATTGCCTGCCAGCTTTGCCATAAATCAAGTGATACTATGTGCATGGGCCTATTTATTGGGCCCTCTTTTCTATACCAGGGGTCTGTCTGTATATCCTTGTGTCAATACTACACTGTCTTAATTACATCAGCTATATGACAGTTCTTGATATTTGTTCTTCAGGATTGCTTTGGCTATTCTTGGCCCAACACACCTTTATACAAATTTTAGAATTGGATTGTTAATGACTTCTAACGTCAACTTTAGATTTCCTCCCTCATGTCCTTTGCCTTAAAACAAAACAAAAACCTGAAATGTATATTGGGACTGCGCTGGAACTATAGCTGGTTAGGATAAATGACATCTCTACAACACTGTATTTTCAATTCACAACCACAGTGTATCTCCATTTACTTGTCTTTGATTTTTCAGTGGCCTTTTTTAGTTTTGTATGTAGGAAACACTGCAGAAAACCTCATTTTTTTTCTTTTTCTTTTTTAATTTGCTCTTTTTAGTTATACATGACAGTAGAACGTATTTTGACACATTACACATACATGGAGTACAACTTCTCATTTTTCTGGTTGTACATAATGTGGAATTACAATGGTAACGTATTCATATATGAACATAGAAAAGTAATGTTCAATTCATTTTACTATCTTTCCTATTCCCATTCTCCCTCACTTCCCTTCATTCCCCTTTGTCTAATCCAATATACTTTTATTTTTCCCTACCCCACCTACTTATTGTGAGTTAACATCTGCATATCAGAGAGAACATTTGGACTTTGAGAAAAAACACATTTTTTTTTTTTGCTAAATTTCTTTCTAAGTATTTGATTTTCAATGTAACTGGCATCTTTATTAAATTTTATATTTTGTTTTTCTTGGCATATAAAAATGACAAGTTTTTATATGTTGATCCTATATTCAATGATATCGCTAAGCACATCAATTTCTGAATTTTCTACATAAGCAATCAAAAATTCTATGATTAATGATGGTTTTATTTCTTCTTTGTCATCTTTACACTTTGTATTTCCTTTCTTCAGTTCCTATACTAAATACATAGGAAAGGTGTGGGTATACACTCTTGTCACCCTCCAGATCACAGTGGCAAAGTCAAAGTTTCCTTTTGTTTATAATCTGTTCTCATCCACTTCTAAGAAATTACTATCAGGTAATTCTCACAATCACCTTATGAAATGGATCACTATGTGGAGAGCTGGGGAAAGGAAGCCTCAGGGAAGTATGAGGGAGGGCTGCTACACTTACACATACTGTGCAGGTTCAGAGAGACTTAGGTAAAGAACACAGCCAAGTTCCACCTGGCAATGCAGAGCTAAAACTGTGCTCTCAGGCCCTCTGCTCTACTGCCTCAGCAGAGAGAGAGGAGGAGATAGGATGGTAAGAGAGATCAGAGTCCCAGGTGATGGCTGGTGTCCAGATGGAGGGCTATCATAAGAATCAGGAACTCAAAAACTGATGGCAACATATCTCTAAGATAGTAAGTGGCTGCAAAGCCATGTGAGTAGATGATATTTGGGGAGAGGAAATCGAATGAGAAAGGGGCTCAACAAAAAAATCCTGAGGAATCAGCATTTGTGATAATACCAGAAAAGCTGACCAAAACAACGCAACAGACTTAGGCAGAGGGCAGAAAGGAAAACCAGGAAAAAGATAAGGATCCCAGATGGCACAGAAGTATCAAACACTGTCAAAAGACTGAGGGAGGCAAGGTCTAAAGAGGTATCTTTTAACCCAGGACAAAGTTTTACCAAAGTAACAATAGGAAGTAAAAGCAGATTTTAGACAGCTAGACAGGAACAAATACCCTTTACCAATTGAGAAGTATGTACCACAGTTGCAGAAAGCACTGATCCTAAGATAATGAATATTGTGAGACTGAACTTTAAAAAGCACATCTCAGAACAATACTCTTGTCTTGGTGAATACTAGAGATAGTAGGAAATATTTGCTTGAAGCGCTTATACTAAGAAAGCTTAATTTAAATTTCAGGCAGTAAAATGAGCAGCGACTAACAATTTCTACACACACACACACACACACACACACACACACACCTGCAAAGATATTTAGTTCCAGAGCTTATGCATTTTCCAAAAAGGTTTTCCAAAAGACAATAATCCAAAGCAGTAATTTAATGCAATCATGGCTATGATAAAACCTGAATGTCTTTTCTTATATAACAGAATGGATGCTTGGAAAGCCTGCCAAATATGATCCTTAAAGAAATGTGAGAGCAATTCTACAGATGCTGATTGATGATGCTGGGCTTTCAAAATGTAATTCAATCAAGATATTAGTGTCATTATCAAATTAATTATATAACCATGTTTAGAATTTCCAATTTATTAAATGTATCACTAAACGTCCATCAGCAGCCTCTAGAGAACTGAGTTAAAAATTTACTTTCAAGCTGGGCACAGTGGTGTAGGCCTGTAGTCCTCATGACTTGGGAGGCTGAGGCAGGAGAATCCCAAGTTCAAGGCCAGCTTCAGAGGTTTAGCAAGACCCTCAGCAACTTAGTAAGACCCTGGCCAAAAAATTTAAAAAGGCCTGGAGATATAGCTCAGTAGTAAAGCACCCTTGCCTTTAAAAAAAAAAAAAAAGTGTGTATGTGTATATGTGTGTGTATGTGTGTGTGTGTGTGTGTGTATACATATACACCCACATATATACACATTTTTTTTTTTTCCTTTAAATTCTCTAAAAACCTGATCTGACTGAAAAGGTTTGGTTTTGCAAGTGTAGAGAGAAAAATATTCCTAGATCCAGTCTAATACTAGGACAAAGAAAGGCAATTTTCTCAAAGCCCAGGCATATATAAAGAGGCATTAATTCAAGAACACAAAGAAACTGTTCCCAGTGTCCTCACCTTCATCCTCTTCCTCCAGGCTGGCATGATCCAGTTCCACTCTTACCTCTATTCCTCCAAGGATGGCCTGCAGACGTTTCTGTTTTGCAGTGATCTTCTTTAGCTGTTGTTCCTTGAAAGATAAATACCAAATACAGAACAGGATAATGCAGTGGTTTATTGTTAAATAAAACAGCGCTATGAAATTTAAAAACTTTAATGAAGAGTAAAATAAACTTTACATTACTATTACTACACACAGCCTTATTTGAACAACTCTCACTTTCCTGCAGCAAGTTAATCTTGAAGCAATCCTGTTGTATAGACATGCCTGCCCACAGGTGTTCCTCACTGTGTGGCATAGAGCTTTCCCCATTCTTGGGCACTTAAATTGGACACTTAAATCGCATGTACCAACTGAGGAAGAGTGGAATTGCCCTCCCTGCCTACCCGCTTCCCCACTGCATACTGGATACATCATTAAACTTCTCTGTGCTTCTGACCTGAGCAGCCAATGGGCTATGGAGGGCAAAAGGACATAGGGATAAGACATAAAAAACAGAGTTCAATATTTTTAAAAATCACTCTTCTTAGATAACCTACCGTATTTATGACATCCTTTATAGTGTTCTATCCAATCACAAAACTCAAAAGCAAATACATATTGCCATGCTTCTTTACCCTGACTGCAGTAGATTCCTCTGTCTTATCTTCCTTGATATCATCAAAATTCATATTGTGGCCTTCCTACAGCTTCCCAATTAACTGGGCCTAGAGTACTTGGATCATTTTTACAAGAAAAAGAATGTTTCAACTTCACCAGTGGTAGAGCACTTGTCTAGCATGCATGAGACCCTCATTCAATCCCTAGCACCACTGGAAAAAAAAGAACGCTTCAACTCTAAATAAGAGTATGGAGCAAGGAGGAAACCTGAACATAAACACTACACTACAATGACTTACAATTTTTTCTTAGTCTTTCTCTCAACAAAATCCCACTTAAAACATTTTCTTTCTGAATAGTTTATCTCTAAACATCAAGATGCTGATAAAGAAAGACAGGAAAATTGGGCTGGGGACGTGGCTCAAGCGGTAGCACGCTCGCCTGGCATGCGTGCGGCTCGGTTTCGATCCTCAGCACCACATACAAAGATGTTGTGTCCACCGAAAACTAAAAAGTAAATATTAAAAAAAAAAGAAAGACAGGAAAATATAATTAAGTTAGACAAGGTTCTGAAGTGGCCTAAAGTTTGTTCTCCATCCTTGAAATCCTAGTCTCCCAGAAGCCCAAGAAGTTCAAAGGTCTCTGCACATCAATTCACATGTTCCCACAAGAGGCCAGATGCCCCCTTTCTGATCTGGGGGGATCCTCTCTGTATAAAACAAATATTAGCTCTGTCTTGTGGGCTGCAATTCCAAAAGTAAGAGAGACAGGCGGTAAAGATAATCAATTGATGGGTGGAAATTAAAAGGAGAACCACATGAAATGAGACTGTATGCCCCCACAAGTAGAACTTAAAAATACAAGGACCCCCACCTGCTGCAAATGATCAACTGTAAGCATAAGGCTATAAGTCAAGGCAGAATTGAAATGAACAAAACTAGTCATTCCTATTTACTGCAATTACTTTCATAAAGGTATACATAATTCCTACCAAAACTCATAAAAACAACATCCTACATAATAGATCTTTCCAACTAAGTTCTCTGACCTTATGCATCTGGGTAGTGAATGTAATACTTAAGGTAAGGATGAAGGACCAGCCTCTCAGAATAAGAAGCAGAAGCACTGTGCAGGGGTGAAGACAATCAGTGTTACCAAGAGCTAAACAGAAAAACAAAGCCCACAGGAAACAAGGAGATTTAAGTGAGAGACCAATACACCAGACTAGAGCAAAAGGAAATGGTCACTTTAGAAAGACTATGTAAGTGAACAGAGTGGGGAAGCATGCAAAGTCACATAGGAACTACTCTCAACTATGTACACAAGGATGCATACAGGCATGTATAGTGTATAAATATGTGTGTCTGTGTATGGGTTTTTAAAAATATTGTATAACAAAGGATGTATAAGGGAAACAATTTAAACATATAAAAGTGACTCAAAATTTCTCTACAAGGAAAAACATTTGCTTTACATCTTACAAATACTTCCCAGAATATGTTTTAAATTATTAAGTGGGCTCACATGGTGACTTTTTCAAAAGTGTTAATACTTTATGCATTATTTGGAATCACCTTATTATACTTCTGTCGTTTTACAGAATCTAGTTTCCTGTTGATGTCTCTGTTGGTGGCAGCTTGAGGGCTAAGCTGTTCAATAATTTTATTGATTTGCCTTAGAGATGTTGTACATGACCTGAAAAATAAGATAAATTATCTATTTTCCACTATGGTAACATTTATATCATATAATAATAAGACAAATGCTAGAAACATGTCTCTTCTACTTCTTATGAACTAAAAAGAAACTAAAACAGAATGCACATTCTTATTGGTCACAAATAGACTAGAAGTTTAAGATAACTACTAGTGGTTTTCTTTTGTTTTTCTGATTTAAATCAGCTCATTTCCATTTTTAAACTGATTCATTCCTTCTACAATCATTTTTTAAGTGTATACTTTATTCAAGACGCTGCTAGGACAACATGTAATACATTGCCCTTTTTTATGAAGAAATGCATACACAGGTTTTTAAAGCCCATTATGGAAACCTCCCAAAGTCTGGAAAGTCCTAAAAGTTCCTAAACATTTTCTTATATAAACTGTAAATCTGTGACAATATTTTTCTTTCATTATGTGAAAGAAAAAAAACAAAATTATTCCTGAAACAGGAATAACAGAATTATAGCTTCCAATTTTCAAAACACAAATTCAATCTTCTGGACACTTGTACAATTTGCTGTTTGTATCCTTTGTGGATTTCAGGATAAACAATACAAGTTATTGGCCATCTAAAGTACCACATCACCAGCCATAGTGTCCTCTGCCTTAAGAATCCACAGCATTTTCCTATCTCTAACCTCCAGAGGAAGTGGACACATTTTCAAGATCAAATGTAAAAGGTATGTCATTATAAGGAACTGAGGTCCTCAACACTCAAGGTCACTAACAACTATGCAAGAGCACCCACTATTCAAAAGGCCCCCCAAAAAGGTAATTTAAATTAAAACAAAAAAGAGGCCAAGAGAACACACCAGAAACACTGTAATAATTAACACACTGATTTCTTAAAGTATCAAGTAATAACCTTCTGATTACATACATTGAAATTTCCAAGTAATAATTTCTAAAAAAGGGCACAAATTACAAATTTTCTGTTAGCAGATGATACATGCTTAAAGTACCAACAGCACCACTACTATAGACTCCCCAACCAGACAGCCACAGATTCCACACACTCCCTCCCCAGCTACCTCAATACTGCCTCACACTGCCTGAGCACTAGTCAGTCTAGTGCTCAGTTTCTCTTTCTTGCTTGCCTGACCTGTCCCAAACTCAGCCCTATGACAATGATGAGTAAGCTTAACTCTCCACAACTTCCCCACTCCTGTCCTCACCCCACAGCCTGGCCCAGTCCCTCTCTTCTCCACCAATACACTATGCTCAACAGAGCCCATGTCAGTGAAAATGAGGTCTCCATGTTTCATCTTTCCTTACAGAAAGTCAAAAGTAGGACAGAAGAAAGGAAAGGCAAGGGAGTTATTATTTCTAGAAATGCAAATCTGAAAAAAATTGCCAAGGGACTGAACACTCAATCTGAGGACAGCAAGCTGAAAAGAAACTACAGGGTTGTGATAAAGGGGCAGTATATTTCTGGTATCTCAAATAGGAAACTGCCCAAATTCAGACATAGTTCTCCTAAGACCACACAGCACGTGGCAATGAGTCCTAAATAGCACCTCTTCAGGACACTATGCACAAGATAGGCCTTTGTGGGCTGGGCTGAGCTGAGCCCCTAACCACTGTGTGCAACACCACTGTGTGCATCACTGCTCCTAAGGGAAGGGGCAAGGACCAAAGTCAAAGTGGAGAGTTGCCCTTACTGATGCTACCTCCCAAAAAACAGGTTCTATACATCTCTTACATTTCTGGAAGTATTATTAATAAGTATTAACTAGATTTCTCTGCCATGTTTAAAAATAAACTCTCAAAAAAGATATGGGCCACACTCACATGAGGTCATCCAGGACTGAACGATACTCCTTCTCAGCGTCAACGAGCTGTGCTACGCGGTTAGCCTCAAGGATTGCACTATCCACCTGCTGAAGCACACCCTGCTCCAACACAGCCTGGTCATAAACATCCACGCCCAGGCCTTGCAATTCCAGGGCCTGTGCACTGGGCTCCACAGCCGGGATCTGATGCCTGTCAATGTGCAGCAGGACTGGACCTCTCCTTGCAGCTGTCGATGTACAGCCCTCAGTAGAAGTAGAGGGCCCAAAGTCGGAGGAAGGAGAAGGGAGGTGCTCCTTCTTCTCTGCATCCCCACCATTTTTTTGCTCAGTTGATGATTCTTCATTAGTACTAATATGTTGTCTCTGTAAACAGTCTTGCTCCTGAGTTTGACTTGAGTGAGAGATTTCTTCATTTGGCATCTTGTACAGACTATCTAAAAGGATAGAAATATTTTGATCATAGAGATTTGATCATTATATAGTTTCTTCAACATTGTATAATTAATACACTGATTTCTTAAAGTATCAAGTAATAACCTTCCAATTACATAAATTGAAATTTCCAAGTAATAATTTCTAAAAAGGGCACAAATTATAAATCTTCTGATAATAAATAAGAAAAATTAAACAAAAGAAAAAAAATGCAGTAGCATCAACAAGGACATCTGGGCAGCCAGCTGAGCATGCCAGCAACACAATCCTGAGTGACACTATGAACATTCCCAACAGCTGAAGTGGTCTGGCTGTTGTCTTTCCTGTTAGGATTTTCACTGTGCTAAGACACAAATGATTTACATTAGAGTAGCACAACCAACTAAAATTTATGAGTCAGTGACATAAGGAGAGAATTTCTGTATGAATCTGACACTAAAAATTTTGAGGCTAAACATCTATCTAGAACTTTGAACAAATGAGAATCTCAGAGAAATTAACAAAAATATTATCAAAAATATCTCCATTTCATTATACAATATAATTTCTCACTCATCAGTTTGGTAGGCATGGTAATATTCAATACTGACAAGAAGCAGGACCCACCTTCACCCACTCATGGTGGGAATATAAATTAATACATCCCTTTTGGGGGACAAATTAGCAATATATATCAAAATTTTATTGCACTTGACCTTTGCCCAGCTAATTCTAGCTCAAGGTATTAATTCCAGAGAAATATAGAACACTCAAATGCCTTAGTTATTCTTTCTCATGATGTGGCTGACTAGGAGCTGTAGCTCACTGTTGCTGCCTAGCATCATGAGAAGGATCATACTGCATATCACTAGCCCAGGAAATGAGCAAAATTCAAATTGAATACAAGTTACTTTCACACCATCATAAAGTTAAAAAAATGTTAAGTTCTAAGTCAGAGACTGTTTCTACTTATACATCAGTACAAGGATGCTTACTAAGCAGGTTTTAATAGTTTAAGGTAGCCTTTATATATTTTCTGTGGTGTTGATATAAAACCATGAACACATTTATGGTTCTTGACACATGTAGGCATATGTGACACATGTGGGCATCTGTGTGTATGGAATGCACACAAAGATCTGAAAAGATGCATACTAAACATACAGTAGTTGGAGGAGGAAGTAAAGGGAACAGAAAAAAATAAAGGAAGCATCTACATTTTATTCATATACTTAGGAACTGCCTGAAAGAGAATATATTCACTCAATTACTTGTGTAACATATAAATATATTAAAAAGTAATATAATAATCAAGAGACAGACTTGATTTTAACCATGAATAAATTAAGGTTTTTCTGAAACTTTATTTCTATGAAATGATCACAAATTCCTCCCACCCACCCACTCATTCCTCATTGAATAAAACAATCCCAGAGACAAAACACTAAGATACAAAGTTGCCATGAATTTAGCATAATCTGCCCCAAAGTGGCTCACTTTGTGCTGGAGATTCAGCATGTGGGGTAACAACACAATAAGGCAGGTCAACTACTGGCCACATGAACTAACAAGAGGGAAAAATGCTTTGTGTTTGGGGCTCAAGAAACATCATGGATGAGCTAAGACCTGAACTTCTGGCCCATGGTTTAATACCTAGAGGAGGTGTTCAATATCTGCTGAAAGGAAGTAAGGTTCAGATAGATCTAAAGTATAAAGTTTGGTTTGGGTAACTGAGTTACCAGTAAATCCAGTCACACAAAAAAATAAGACTGTCAGAAAGGAAGCAGAAGGAAAAAGTGGGGGGGGGGGGGGGGAGGGGGAGCTGGCAAGGAGCTCAGAAGTCACCATAGTGGTACAGAATGCAGTCAGGATGCAAATCTGAGCTCAAGGGAAAGTTCTAGAAAGAATATGGACACACCAGCAGAGCAAGCAGCCCCAGAGTTTTCAAGGCTCTAACAAGTGCCAGAGGTCATCATTTTAGAGAGTAAAAAGAAGCTAACACTGAAAAGATGAAAGTTTCGGGGTACAATGGTGCACACTTATAATCCCAGCAATTTGGGAGGCTGAGGCAGGAGGATCACAAGTTCAAAGCCAGCCTCAGCAATTTATCAAGACTCTGCCTCAAAATAAAAAGTGAAAAGGGATGGAAATGTAGCTCAGTGGTTCAGCGCCCCTGGGTTCAATTCCCAGCATTAGAGGGAGAAACTTACTCCCTTCTGAGGCCTTCTGTTTATCTTTTAGAGAAAGGCTCAGCTTGGCCTCCCTTTGCAACAGAAGGGGCAGGATTCTTGTTCAGAGCTTTTCTAAGAGCCTCTAAATAAGAAACACTTCTGTTTTAATTTTTCTTATCTGCATGCAAGAGGTGTTTTTTGTTTTGTTTTGTTTTTTTTTTTTGGGGGGGGGGGGGCTTTTTGTTTGTTTGTTTCCCAATCCTTGGGATTGAACCCAGGGTCTCAAGCATGTTAGGTGAGTGCCATACGCCTGAGCTACTTCCCAGGCCAGATTTATTTTTTAAGTTAAAAAAAAAAAAAAAAGTCAATTCAACCAAAAATATTAATAGTATTGTAGTGCAAAGACAAGATTTAAAATAAAGAAATTTTGGGGAAACAACTAATAATTTAAAAAAGGGTAAGAGGAATGGTTAAAAGTAGAAAATGACAGGGCATATTCACATAAGGAAATCAAGAAAAGGTCTGGTGAATTTGGACATGATTGGGTCACTGGGTTATCTAGTAAAAGAAGATTCAATGGAGCAATGGAGACAAAATCCAGACTGTAGTGGTTTATGAAGTCAGCAGAAGATGAGCACCCTATAAGGGAGTGGACTATTCCTTTAATTAAGGAGGTTGGTTATGGGAGAGAAGTAGATGGAATGATAAAGTAATAAGAGATCTATTGGCAAGTGGGGAAAGAAAAATGAGGGCAAGAAAAATGAGAAAATGTAATGACTGAAAGAGATACAGAGACGACCTAACCAGAAAGCTGTGCAGCAGCAGAAGATCCAGGGTGTAAACGAACAGAAAGAAGGATGCCTATTTCTCTGATTCTGGCAAAAGAATAACTCCTGATGTACCTATCTGTAGATACAGAAAGAAGCTGAAGTGGACCACAGAAAAAATATCCCATCAGATAGGACATCTGGGCACTTCCTGGGTCAGGGGACAAAGTTGGGATGGGGGATGGAGAAGAACAGAATTCTGGAACAAATGTCTATTTAAAAACACAAGAGGGCTAATGCAGAATGAATACTAAGGGTACCTGCTGTTGGCTCCCCAAAACCAAGAACTGCCAACACTTCCTAACACTGTATAATTTCCTTCTCTAGCAATGAGTAGTTCCTTGGGGAAACTTTCACTATGGGGGATTTTCAAAGTAGAAGTGGTAGAACAAAAGGTTCCTGAAGTTGATGTTGAGAAAAGCAGGTAATACAACAGGTTATGAATCATACTTGGAAGGTTTATTTAAAAAAAAAAAAAAAAAAAAAAAAAAAAAGCCAGAAAGGGATTGGATTGGAAATGGGATAGAGAGGTGGAAAATGCACCTAGCATCTGGTCATGGTAGGAAACCAGAAGGTTTTCATCAGAAAGTTAAAGCCAGGCCTGGTGGCACACAACTAACATCAGAGACTCAGGAAGCTTCAACAGGAGGATCGATTGAGCTCAGCCTCAACAACTTAGCAAAAACCCGTTTCAAAATAAAGAAATAAAAAGGACTGGGGAGGTACCTTAGTGGTAAAGCACCCCTGGATTAACCGCCCCCCCCCCCCCCAAAAAAAAGAAAGCTAACGAAGAGTTTCAGAAGTGAAATAAATCATTAGTTCAACAAATAATTAAGAGTCAATTACACCAAAAAATGTGCTAGGCAAACTAATTCCTTTCCCTACAGAGTTTAGTCTCTTGGGAAAGATCTTAAAAAGTATGTCTATACAGAGACAGGGATATACAAATGCAATCATGGTAACTACCATAAGAAGAGAATACAGAGCTCTTTAGGAAAAAAAAAATAAGAGAAACCTAACTGACATTGTGGAGGTAGGAGTAAGGTCAATGAGGCCTATCTGATAAAGCCAGTATCTGAAGGATGAACAGGATTTACTCAGACCAAAAGTAGAGTGAACATCTTGCAAAGAGACAACATGTGTAGCTGCTAATGCCAGGAAGAGCTGGTGAATTTGGGAAAATGAAAGAAGACTAAAACAATGATTTTTTTTTTTTGTACCAGGAATTGAACTCAGGGGCACTCAACCACTGGGCTACATCCCCAGCCCTATTTTTATATTTTTTATTTAGAGACAGAGTCTCAGTGGGTTGCTTTAGCACCTCGCCACCTGGGCTGAGGCTGGCTTTGAACTTGCCATCCTTCTGCCTAAACCTTTCGAGCTTCTGGGATAACAGGCGTATGCCACGGCAACATTGAGGATTTTTTTATCTCCAATTTTGAGTTAAACAGAAATTATCAGAACTCGATTCATCCATTTCCTAACACACTGTAAGCCTTAATTATCTGGGAAAACATTACCTTCAGTGTCCTCTCCCTTGAGCACTAGGGGATTCTGTGGCCAGGGGTGAGCTGAATCCTGGTGTGGAGGGTTGTTTGTACATACGAACAACTCTGTGAAGAGGCGGGCAAGAAGAGTCAGGTCACACAAGGTCTGGGAAAGCTGAGTTTGGAGTTTACTCCAAGTGCAATGGAATGGCTTCGAAGAGTTGTAAGCAGTGATGACATTGTGACCCGATTTAAAAACCAGTTAGGCTACTGAAGGGATAATAGATTGGAGAAAGTGCAATGAGAAGAAACTGGGAGATGTTCAGAAGGGAAAATGACGACAGCTTGGAACAGGGTGACAGCTGTGAAGATGGTCGCTGTGAAGAAAACCAGGTTACGGCATATACAAGCGGACTGCTCAATCCTACTTCCCCTACTCCAACTTGAGTACAGCAACGCAGAAGACTCCAGACCTGCACCACACTAACCTCTCTCGAACAACTCTAGTATTTTAATAGAGAACAAACAGGGCGCGGGGCCTCAAAAGATTCGGTGAAGTAGATGCACGGTCGCTAGCCCGCCCCGCCGGGAGCCAAGACCCGCAACAGGACGCTAGCTACCAGCTCCACGCCCCAGAACAGGGCAACCCCAGAGGAGCGCGCGCCGCTGCGTCACTTCCGGTCGCAGGCTAGCCTACCAGAAAGCGCGCGCCCGGGCAGAGGACCGGTTCGCGGCCGCCCGTACCTTTAGGCTCCATCGCCGCGGCCAGAAGCCAAAGGCGCGGGACGTGGCCGCTGGAAAAGCCCGAGCCGGCACCAGTCACCCGCCACCCGACAGTAAACCTGGTCGCCACTCACCCCAGGGCCACGTAACTGCAACACACGTAAAGCGAAAAGCCGCTGCCACCACGGAACACAGTCCAATCGGCTGTAACGCATGCGCCCTCCGCCCGCCGTAAATCCCGCCCCCAACATCGCGGCGTGGGTGACGGCGCACGCGCTGGCCTGCCAACCTGCTTTGGAAGCACCGATTAGGCCACGTGGTCTGAAGCAAGCGGACTGTCTGGTCTTACTACCTCGGGGCAGGGTGGTGTTACTATCACCTGGGCCACTGGCTAATTGGGTGGCTAGAGAACAGTGTATCACCCCTGGTTTAAAAAAAAAAAAAAAACAACTCATTAGTAAAGCGGTTATAAGAATTAAAAGTTGTTTCTAAGGGAGAGAGGGATATGCAATTGGCCATTTAAATGTAAATATTGCTACTTAACCGTGAACCCTAAAGAGAAAGTAAGCTTGTGGAAGCAAGCCAGCTCCAATTGAGTGCCTCCCTGGTAAATCGCCTTGACCAATGGAATTGTTACCTCTCTTATTCTCTGGCACCTCTGACCTCCTGAAGAATTGGGAAAGGTCTTATCTCTGTTCTTCCCTATGCCTTAAGGCAATGAGCAGTGCAGGCAACCCATATGAACCTGCATAAATTTCTTATTACTTTCAGTCAATCATTATGTATCTGTCCTTAGATCTTAGTGGTAGGGAAGATTTTAAACCAGATAATAATTTTAGCTTGGAGCATTCGAGGAAAAAGTTGACCATGGAATGCTGGAGGACCGCAAGTTCTAGGCCAGCCTGAGAAATTTAGTCTGATCTTCTCTCAAAATATAAAGAGGATGGGGATGTAGGGTAATCTCCAGGCCACAAAAAGAAAGAAAGAAGATATGCGCTCATAGGCTAGTTCAGAACAAAAGAAGGAAGCTGAACTTCCCCCAAGGAAAGAAATGGTGGGAATATCAAACTGGAACTTTTCAACTCAGGAATGCCAGCACTGGAAGAGGACACAGCAGCAAAAGTCCTCTAGGAGCAGAAGTATCTATCAAACAGATATTTGAAGCCTGATTAAGAGAGTGTATCTTTCTCATTTTGAAGCCTAAAATTAGACAATGGGAAAATGAGTTGGGAAGGAGACTTAATAATGTTCTGTAACACCATCATATTACTTCTGTTAATGATAGATATCCACTCTGGTCATCCCACATGAAACTGTAATGTATTTTAAAAAGGAAAATTCTAGTGGTCTCTTAAGTAAAATGTTGAGTGGGGCTGTGTACATTGCTCAGTGGTAGAGGCAGTGATTACCATGCAAGAGGCCTCAGATTCAATCCGCAGCACCGCCACCCGAAAATAGGTATAGTTGGTAGATATTAATTTTAGTGCTTGAAAGTGAAAGCAGAGTTCTTACCCAGCAGTTCCCAACAATTTTGAGAATGAGATTACCCATATAACACGGACTATTTTTAGAGACCTATGCATCAATCAGAAGAAACAAATTGTATCCACAAATGGGGCAGTTGACCATTAATAACTTTTATAAAAATGTGGGCATGGTTTAGGAAAACTCTATGGCACAGTAAATAACCCTGGGGCTAGTAAGGACCAGGAGCTCTGCCCATTTGTTATGGACTAAATTGTGTCTCCCTGAATTCATATGTTAAAATCCAAACCCCCAGTACCTTAGAATGTGACTGTTTGGGGATATAGGGTTATTAAAGAAATTAAGTTAAATGAGGTCATTAGGGTAGGTCCTAATCTATTGTGACTGCTGCCATTATAAGAAATTTAAACGCAGAGGCATGCATTGATGAAAGAGCATTTAAGAATACAAAGAGAAGATAGTCATCGACAAGCCAAAGTTAGTGGTCTCAGGAAAAAAAAAAAAAAAAACTCTGCCAACATATTAATCTCAGACTTGCAGCCTGCAGAATTAGGAGAAAGTAAATTTCTCTTGTTTAAACCAGCCAGGCTTTAATATTTTGTTAGAGCAGCCCTAGCAAATAGGCCTGGAGGAAAAGTGGGAGGACCCAGACAGAAGTGAATAGCAGAATGGAGAAGACCTCTTGAAATAAATACAGAATGACCTCAATTTCCACTATTATTTCCAATGCTGTTGTCTCCCATTGTCAAAGCCAACTGAAAGCTGGAGGGCTAAGGAGCCTGCTGATGCCTGACTTTAGAGATCAGCCTCCAGGGCACAGAGTAGGGTGGAGAAAAATGAAAAGTGAAGCTGGAGTAGCAAACAGGAACTATGCATCATTCCTCACATAGTTGTAGTTATTCTTTTGTATCCTCTTACTTTAGAAGAAGCAGAATAATATTCACTATTAATTCAATAAAGCTTTTTAAATGGATTAGTATTTAGTTAATTAAAAGATCAACATACTTTGTCTAAGCCAAGTTTCTCCTGCCCTCCCTCCTCTGATAATGGTAATAAGGTCCAATGAGCTGTGATAAGTCAGATTTGATCATTTCTGTGCTCACCTGAATATTAAGGACAACTCTTTATTCATACCTTCCCAGTCTCTTGATCATTCCTGATCAGGCCTCCTTTGCTGCTATCTGCTGTTTGTTCTCACATCCTGAGAATGATGTCAGCCTCCAATGCCCACCACTGAGTGGAAGCATCATTGTGTGGGTGCCACAAAAGCTCTGTCAAAACCACTCCCTGTTGGCACTCTTTGAGGTCTTAATTGAACCTGTATCCAGGCTGACGGGGAATAGACCCCAGACTCTGTCAGTATCACCTGAGCCTCACAGTAGCCCCACATCCACTTCCAGCAGCATACATAAGGATATCTTGTCCCCAAGGAGAGCACTGCACGTGCAGACACCCACCGTCTCATTGCATTCTTCAACCTAGTTTCTGCCCTAGGCATGTGCACATTCTCTCTCTCTCTCTCTCTCTCTCACACACACACACACCACGGTTTATTCCAGCTTCAGCACTCCCCCCAGTAACATGCCAGTGGAGCCATGGAGGCTGAGCCCACAATTTCATGAGACATGTCTGACTTTCATTTTGAGCCTCAGGTAGGGAATTCTTATATGGTTTGGAAGTTAGCAGCACTTACCTATGTGGATCATCATTTATTCCATTTTTAGACTTTATTAACTGGTTGTATAGGCAGGTGTCTTATTTCCTTGCAAAGAACTGGCTAGATGGTTGAGGGAACTGCAGCGCCCTTGGGAATCCATGAGATGGCTAAAAAGAGCTCATGACTCAGAACCAGATGCCCAGGGTTAAAGGTGGGAAGGAAACAGTATGCCAAGGACCAAAATGGGATAAGCCAGATAAAAAAAATGTCCAAAAATGTGCAGTTGGTCCACAACTCTTTAATAAGACACCAGAAACTTTTAGAGAGAAATATTCAAAGAATTCTTTCAGTTAACAGCAGCTTCCAGATGCTAAATTCTCTCTTTTGCTAAATCTGTCAAAAACCACAACATTGGAGAACATATTTTCTCCTGACTACAGTCATCATGAAAGAGATAAGAACTTAAGACCAAACTGCAAATAGCTCAAGCTGAAGCCTACCAATAGGATATATGAATATGGAAATTCTGCTGTCAGCCTCACCAACTCTGAAACAATATAGATAAGATATAATAGGAACATGCCTCAACATTGTAAAAGCTATTTATGCTAAGCCCAAGGCCAACATCATTCTAAATGGAGAAAAATTGAAAGCATTCCTTTAAAAACTATAACAAGACAAGGATACCTTCTTTCACCACTACTATTTAACATAGTTCTTGAAACTCTAGCCAGAGTTTCAACTATCACTATTTGCCAACGACATGATTCTATACATAGAGGATCCAAAAAATGCCACCATAAAACTTCTAGAACTAATAAATGAATTCAGCAAAGTAGCAGGATATAAAATCAATATCCATAAATTAAAGGCATTTCTATACATTAGTCTTTCAAATCCTTGAAAGAGAAACTAGGAAAACTACCCCATTTATAATAGCCTCGAAAAATACTTTGGAATCAACAAAAGAGGTGAAAGACCTCTATGATGAAAACCACAGAACACTAAAAAAAGAAATTAAAGAAGACCTTAGAAGATGGAAAGATTTCCCTTGTTCTTGAATAGGAAGAATTAATATTGTCACAATGACCAAACTACCAAAAGCACTATACAGATTCAATGCAATTCAATCTAAATCCCAATGACATTCCTCATACAAGCAAAAAAAGCAATCATGAAATTCATCTGGAAAAAATAAGAGACTCAGAATAGCCAAATTAATTCTTAGCAAGAAGAGTGAAGCAGGAGGCATCACTAAACCAGACCTTAAACTATACTACAGAGCAATAATAACAAAAACAGCATGGTATTGGCACCAAAATAGACTTGTAGATCAGTGGTACATAATAGAGGACATAGAGACAAACCCACATAAATACAGTTATCTCAATACCAGACAAAGGCACCAAAAACATATATCAGAGAAAAGATAGCGTCTCCAAAAAGAAAACTGGAAATCTAAATATAGCAAAATGAAATTAAGCTCCTATCTCTCACCATGCACAAAACTCAACTCAAAAGTGGATCAAGATCTCGGACAGTGCCGACGTATTTGTTTGTAAATATATATGTTCTGTAATGTGCCCATGTAAATAAATAAGTTTAAATATAATTTCCAAATGAACAACAAAAAAAAAAGTAGATCAAAGACTTAGGAATTAGTTCAGAGACCCTGTGCCTAACAGAAAAAAAAGTAGGCCCAAATCTCATCATATCGGATTAGGCCCTGCCTTCCTTAACAGGATTCCTATAAGTGCAAGGAATAAAATCAAGAAACAATAAATGGGATGGATTCAAACTGAAAAGCTTCTTCTCAGCAAAAGAAACAATCAGTGAGTTGAAGAGACAGCCTACAGAATGGGAGCAAATTTTTACCACATGCACATCAGAGAGAGCACTAATCTCTAGGATATGTAAAGAACTCAAAAAACTTAACACCAAAAAAAAAATAACCTTATCAATAAATGGGCCAAAGATATAAACAGACACTTCTCAGAAGATGATATCCACTTGATCAATAAATATATGAAA